GGCTAGGCTTTTACATTACGGATCGAGGAGAAGGCACTCCAGTGAGGGTGAGTTTTTCCTTGGTAGAAAGCCGATGGTGCAACTTAGGTGTGTTTGATCAATTGAGAGCACACCTGATACGAGCACCCATTCATCTAACAGAGTCTACTTAACATTGTGGCATCGCGTTCTCTATTATCGTTAGTATCATCAATATGTTCATGTTCTCTTGTTTGTCTTCTATCACGCTAGTTTGTGATGATTCCTTTTCATTCTTGCATAAAATATGAATCATTACATCCATATTATTTACTCAGGACACCAATTATTTTAACAAAAATAGAAGATATTATGTGATTTATTTCCTTACATCTTGTTTGGTATGCAGAAACAGAGTCCACCGAGGATAGGCTGAAGCAATGAATGGAATGAAATATTGTGGAAATATGATTCTCGTTCTTACGTTTGGATATATTTCGAGGATGAAGCGGGAATATACAAACAAGCGGGAATATATATGTCCAACAATCTAAAATAAATGATCCAAAATCTCAACTACAATAGTCAACTGAAAAGTACATAAGCTCTCTTAGCTCTCAAAGTATAATGCAAATCTAAACATCAACTAGAAGTATAAACTAAACATCTGTGGAGCAAGACTACTAAACATATATGACGACAACTGATAATCACTTTTTATTACAAATTTATACCCTCATTATCTATTTTATATGAATAAATATACCACTAATAATTGTTTTTATCTTTTAATTGCAGGTTAATGAAGAATAAATCTCAAACTCTCATCTCTCAACAAAAACCCATTGATTAAATGAAGAAATGAAGCAAAGAAGCACATTGGAAAATCAATTTTCAAATTATCCAAAAGCCCAGAATCAAGTCGTGTAGCCTGTAGAAGCCGGAGAAAATCAAAAATCCAATATGAAAAGAAATCATATTCAAAATGGTTGGCCACAAAGAAACGACGATATCTCCTAATCCGGAAGGCGGAATTTAACATATAATATATGAAAATCGCCTATCTCGACGAGACGAAGCTATCCGTGAAATCAGAATTTGGAAATAGTGGACATCGATGTCGGCATCGATGTGGGCATCGATGCTGGCATCGATACCTGCATCGATGCCTGCATCGATACCAGATCACTGTAGCGCGCGTCAATGGCTGATTTTGCTTGTCTTGGGGCTCAAGTTTGATCCAATGGCTCTCATTCACTGATGTTTACTATAAATAGGGGTAGAGAGTGAGGGGTTAGAGGTGTGAAAATTTTTGTAACTCCTTTTGGAGAGGAGGGCTACTCTTAATTGAGAAGGCCTTCCAAAAATTGTAACTTTAGTTGCAATTAATAAAAATAATTTTTTCCTCTTTAAATTTGTTCTTTCTCCTCTTGTTGAATGATGAGGATGGAGATGAAGAGCAATTTGAAGGTTTGCATTTCTTTTCTCTTTTATTTCTTTTTAGTAATTTCTTTATTATTGCTTATTAGTTAGATTTAAATTCATGCTTGTAGTGTAGATTTACTTTCTTGTCTTTTTTATTTTCTTTTTGCACTTTAATTTGTAGAGTATTTTTATTTTGTTTGATTCGCCTTTAGGCTAGAACCCTCTAGGGAATCACCATTTTCTAAGAAGTGAGTTCAATTTTAGATTATCCATATCTATAATTGAATCCACCATCTTTAATTTCTTGCATTTTCTTTTATTCTTGAATTTTATTCTTCATATTCTTGATTTTTATTTTCCTTTTCCTTCTTGCCTTATTGATCATATTCATTCTTTGTCACATCCACTCTCACTTATATCTCGTGCCGATTTACACACTATCACTTCCACTCTCTCTATCTCTCCACAATCACATTCACTCATCACTCCTATTTGTCACGCACACAACATAAGAATCCTATTTGTCACGCACATAACATAAGAACCGATTTCATATTTTCTCCTACAAAACACATTCCTCGTGGGATCGATATCTTAAATACTATAACTTGACACGGTTGTGCACTTGCAACCTTTTTGGTACATGTTTATGCCGCATCAAGTTTTTGGCGCCGTTGCCGGGGAAGGTGCTTAAGTAGGTTTTAATTATTTTGGTTCTTTAACTTGTGTGTTTTTTGTGAAGGAAACGCTTGGCTTGTGGTAAGTCTTCTTCCTTATTTTTTCAATTCCACACCTTTAGTTAGCTCCTTCACAATTAGAGACAATTAGGACTTAAAAAAAAAGATTTTATTTCCGTTGACCATAATAAAATTCACCATCCACTTTGACATTTACTAACAAGATAATAAATTCAAACAAATTCCTCCCTTCTCATTTGTTTGATTATTAACCCTAATTAAAAAAAAAAATCTTTTCCATCCTTTTTAGTTGCTTTTAATTCATAGGGTTGCATTTCATATTGATAGTAGGAATTCACCAAGTGATTTGAGCATCTTGATTTGACACACACTTAAAAATATCTTTAAGGGCAAAACCCCATAATCAAGATAAGGTGAGGGATTTCATCACCCTTTCCTTAGCCCAAAAATCACTAATTCCTCACTTCACAAACCCAAGCCTAATAAAACTCATTAGACGGTTGCCCCTAAGGATTCGAGCTCAATAAGGAACAAGAAATCCTTAAGTGAACCGGTTTAAGTTTTCTCAGATTAGTTGGTGTCTAAGGCAAGGTTTAGGGGTTGCGTAAAGCTCTCCGTAAGGAACGAGGTACTTAATTAATCTCTGATCACTTCAAAAAAAAAAAGAAAAAAGAAAACTAACTTTTATTTTTTCAAAAAAAAAATTATATAAAAAGAAATTGTTTTTGGTGCATGCAAAACGTGGATTAAGGACAATACACATCAACAAATTTATTTTGAACAAATGACTAATCCACAAGTTTTTCAAAATTTATGTTATCCCAATAGGATTGAAATTTCCAATGAAGTAAATCAATTTCCAAATTATCCAAAAGCCCAGAATGAAGTCGTGTAGCCTGTAGAAGCCGGAGAAAATCAAAAATCCAATATGAAAAGAAATCATATTCAAAATGGTTGGCCACAAAGAAACGACGATATCTCCTAATCCGGAAGGCGGAATTTAACATATAATATATGAAAATCGCCTATCTCGACGAGACGAAGCTATCCGTGAAATCAGAATTTGGAAATAGTGGGCATCGATGTCGGCATCGATGTGGGCATCGATGCTGGCATCGATACCTGCATCGATGCCTGCATCGATACCAGATTACTGTAGCGCGCGTCAATGGCTGATTTTGCTTGTCTTGGGGCTCAAGTTTGATCCAATGGCTCTCATTCACTGATGTTTACTATAAATAGGGGTAGAGAGTGAGGGGTTAGAGGTGTGAAAATTTTTGTAACTCCTTTTGGAGAGGAGGGCTACTCTTAATTGAGAAGGCCTTCCAAAATTGTAACTTTAGTTGCAATTAATAATAATAATTTTTTCACCACTTTAAATTTTTCTCTTCTTCTCTTTGTTGGATGATGAAGATGAAGATGAAGATGGAGAATTATTTGAAGGTTTGCATTTCCTTTCTTTTTCTCTTTTATTGCTTATTAGTGTAGATTTATTTCTATGCTTGTAGTTTAGATTTTATTTTCTTGTTAAATAGCCAAGAGGCTAGAACCCTCTTGCCTTAGATTTATTTCATGCTTATAGAATAGATTTATTTTCTTACATTTAATTCTTGCAATTTTATTTTGTAGTTTAGATTTTGCAATTTATTTTGTAGTTAGATTTTAATTTCTTATACTATTCACCTTGAGGCTAGAACCCTCTTGGGTTTAGTTTTTCTTTTTGTTTATTTTTATTTTGTTTGATTCGCCTTTAGGCTAGAACCCTCTAGGGAATCACCCTTTTCTAAGAAGTGGGTTCAATTTTAGATTATCCATATCTATAATTGAATCCACCATCTTTAATTTCTTGCATTTTCTTTTATTCTTGAATTTTATTCTTCATTCT